GCACTTCGACCTGGCGTCGCTTCCAAGTGTTTTTTATTGCGCATGCCAGTCGACAACTTCGACCAACTCAAACCGCCGACCAGGGGAATGCCACCCAAGCAGTTCACGCTATTAGCAGCAACCGACCCGCGGCAGCGAACTGTTGACTACAGCCGTGGCCGCTCTCGCACCGCCTGGCACTTGCCTACGGATTGCCCCGCGCTCAGGACTGGCCCTCGCGGGCGACGACGGCGCGGGCGGAGTGGTGGGCCCCCGCTACCGCGGCGAGATCAAGGTGATCATGCGCAACGCCAGCCCGCGGACATTCGCGGTCGAGCCGGGCCAGAGGATCGCTCACGTCACCTTGGGGCACATTACCGCGGACTCCGAGGTCGTGGTCGCCACCGACTTTCCTTCATCCTTTCGCGCCTCTGGGGGCTTCGGTCACGCTGGCACGACATGCCTCAGCTACTGCCCCGTCCCGCATGAATCGGGCACTGCAGCGCCGACAGGGTCCGAGGGTAATTGTGCTACCGAAGACCCCGCGCAGCCGCTACATGTGGAGGGGGGCGCGCCAGCCTGATGGTGGCCCAGCCGACCTGCCCCGGCAGAAGGGGGCAGCGAGGCCTGGCCGCCCCGTCTGGGTTCTCGAGAGAGGGGGGGGGACTTCGCTAGCGCTACTGGAAGACGGCTACGACGTCGTGCGCGCCGCATCCAAAGTGGGCGCGGCCAGGTATTTGTCTGGCAGCGCATTTCCCATTGCGAAATGTTGCGTGTTGTGGATCACGTGCGACGCGAACAGGGATGGCGTGACGTGCGTTCCTGACTCCCTTCGCATTTGGTGCGCCCGTGTCAGGTACTGCGGCGCCAGGATCGTTATCTTCGGACTCCGCGGGCTTTAGTGGCGACGGGCGCCCATCAAGCAGCCCGCCGACACTGGCGCATTATTTTGCAGCAGTCACAGAGCTTGTCCGAAGCCTCTCTCCCCAGAGGCCAAGCACAGTGGCATATCCTTCACGACGCTCACTTGAGCACGTATGCCCGCCCAGTTGTGCCGCTGCGACATCGCGTGAGAGGGGCGCCGCATCGACTGGGCGACTTCAAACAGGCATGTTTGTCTGGGCTCGATGTGCCGCGACGCGTTGCGTCTTGCGCCCTACTTCCGTTGTGCGCCAGCGACCAGCAGTGCGCCCCTGAAGGTGCGCCCTCGGCGAGGCGCGGCATCAGCTTCAGCGGCAGACCTCGAACGCTACTTCCTGTCCTATGGCGACAGGCAAGCGCGACGCCGAACGGCGCATTCAGGACCGCGAGTCCGACCATGCACGACAGGTGCCCGACGATTGCGTTGTTCGCGCCTACCTTGCGGCGGAGCGCATGCGCTAGAAAGTGAAGATGAAGAAGGAAAGTGCGCCAATGGGTGCCCCGGCACTTGCAAAGGAGTCGCGTGCTCGCGGGGCCTCCCTCCCCCCTGTCAAGGGGTTCAGAAGGCCCATTCGGGCGCCCCCATTCCTCTCCTTTGCGCCGGAGAGTGGGGTGGATTTCAGACCCCCCCCGCCCCTCCCTCGCTTTTCACAGGAGGGCGGGGGGGGTGCCTCCCGTTTCCTTGTGATGCGCGCGAGATTGGGGGTCGGGGTTCGGGTTGGTGGGTTGGGGTGGGAGTGTTGAGGGGGCGCCATCGCTGGCCCCGCTCGAAGCCCGCTGGCCCCGCTCGACCCATGACGCACACAACTCAACGCGTCGGCGACGACGGCGACGCTCTTGCCAACCAGACAAGACGTCGCATCGCCGCCGCATCGGCGCTGCATCGGCGATCCCAGGCCTTTCTCGGAGCTGAGCCCCCGCATCGCGGCGGCCGCGGCCTCGCGGCAACCCCGGGGTGCCTGCCGCGTGGTGGCCCCCTGGGGAAGGGCGCGGGCGCGGGCCCTGGCCCGCGAGGGTCGAGGTCGCGACCGTGCCCTCCGCGAAGGGCACTCCGAAGGAACCTTTAGCGCGCGCGTCGCGAGCGCATCTTCCCAGGGCGCGCGCGCGCGCTGGCACCCGCGCGCCGCGCGTCGGGCGGCGGCGTCGCGAGCCCCGGGGCCACCCCCGGAAGCCTCCAAGAGTTCGCCGACGCGGGGGGCGCGCTCGGGAGCGCCTGGAGCGCCTGGGGGGGGGCTGGGGCCGCTGTGGCAGCGACTGGGCCTCGCCTGGAAGCGCCTGGGGCGCGCTTGGGAGTCGATTGGGGAAGCTTGGGGAACGGCTGGGAGCGCGTCCGCGAGTTCACCGACGCGGAGGGGCGCGCTCTGGAGCGGCCGGAGCGCTTGGGGAAACTTGGGGTCGCTGTGGCAGTTCCTGGGGCGCGCCTGGAAACGCTTGGGGGGCGCCTTGGAAGCGCGGGGGCAGCGCCCGGGCGTCGCTTGGGAGCGCCGCGGGCAGGACCGCGCGCAGGCGTGCAGGTTTTTTTTTTGTTGGGGGGGGGCGGGGGCCGCGCGAGTTGGAGGCGCCTCTGTGCGCCGCGGAGTAGTTTGTGCAAGGAATTCGGGTCGCGCGCACGGGGGGCAATATTTTCTGAGAAAGGGTTCGGGCCGCATGGGCGAAACGCCATGGTTTTTAGAAGCGCAAGTGGGGGCGGAGATTAGGGGCGGCCTCAGGGATTTGAGGGTTGGTGTGTGTATATTTATATATATATAATATTTACGTATACAATATAATATAATATAATATACTATATTAGAATATGATACAATATAATGTAGTGTAATGTATTGTAATGTAATGTAATGTATTGTAATGTAATGTAATGCAATATAATATAATATCACACAATATAATATAATGTAATATGTTTCGTATAATATACTATACTACAACATAATATAATATTTTATTATATAGTAACATATAATATAGTATACTATGATCTATTATATTATATTATATATGATATAATATGTTATAACAAAGTATACTATAATATAATATGATATAATATGTTTTAAAAAATAAGGTATTATAATATAATATAATATAATATAATTATATATAGTTCAATATAATATAATAAAATATTATATAATACAATACATACAATATATATTTATATATATATATATATATATATAATATATATATTATAGTATATTATAATATACTATATATACATATATTATAATATAATCCAATATACTATGATTCAATATAATATGATATAGTATAATATATTGTAATATAATATGGTACCACATCCTATAATATAATATCATATAATTTACTACAATATAATATAGTATGACATAATGTAATATAATATAATATAATATAATATGTTCTAACATAATATAATATCATATCATACAATATAATATAGCGCAATACAGTTTACTATACTATAATATAATATAATATAATATAATATAGTATAATATACTATAATATAATATAATATAATATAATATAATATAAAATAATTTAATATAATATAATATAATGTACCATAATATAGTATAATATAATATAATGTGATGTAATGTAATATAGTATAGTATAGTCTAGTATAGTATGTATATATATATATATATATAGGCTCTTAATTATTAGGGTAATGGTTCGGGGGTCGGGATGTGGATCAGGGTTTGGTGGTTAGGGCTTTGGTGGTGGGATTCAGGTTCGGTTGAGAGGCGTAGCGTCAGGGTGCTAGGGCCAGGGTGGTAGGGGTAGGATTAGGGTGTTAGGGTCATTATTATGGAGGTCGCTGGGTTCGGGTTCGGGTGGTAGGGTTGGGGGGTTGGGTTCGGGCTAGGAGGTTAAAGTGGACAAGGTTTTGGGCGTTAGGGTTAGGGTTCGAAGGTTAAAGTTAGGGTTCAGAGGGTTAGGGTTACGGTGGTGGGGGTGGGTATCGGGTTCGGGCTAGGTGGTCCGGATTCGGGTGGTCGGGTTAGGGTTAGGGTGTTTGGGTTAGTATCATGAGGGTTTGGGTTAGGGTGGTAGGGTTCGAATTCGGGTGTTGGTGTAGGGGTTAGGGGTAGGGGGTCAGGGTTCGGGGGTCGGGTTGGTGTTAGGGTTGGGGTTAAGCGATTCGGGTTCGGGTTTTGGGGTTGGGGGCGTAATGGGGGTATGGTCAGGGTGGTTGGATCAGGGTCCTGGTGAGGGTTAGTGGGTTAGGGTTCGGGTTTTAGGCTTATGGTTATGGAGTCAGGAGGTTCGGTATAGCATAGTAGGGATAGGTTTAGGGGTGGGTTTAGGGTTAGGGTGAGGGCTGTACGGGGGCTTCGGGGTTAGGGTTTAGGGCTTAGTGGTCGGGGTCCAGGAGTTAGGGGTTAGAGGATGGGAGTTAGAGCGTGGGGTTAGGGTTAGGGTCAGTGTGAGGGTGAGGGTGAGGGTGAGGGAAGGGTTAGGGTGAGGATGTGGGTGGGGGTTAGGGATAGGGTTAGAGTTCAGGGCTTGGGGTAAGGGATTAGGGTTAGGGTCAATTGGTTATGGGGGTTAGGGTTAGGGGGTGGGGGTCCGGAGCTATAGTTCCAGAGAGGGGGGGGGAAATCGAGCCCCCCCTTGAAAGGGGTGGAAGGGGAGGGGAGGTGTCCGAATTTCGAACCCAAACGGGGGGAAGGGGGGGGAATCGAACCCGCCCCTCCCTGTTGAAGGGGAGGGAGGCGGGGGTCCGCCGACGACGGATCTGGAATGGGCGGGGGCGACTCGACGGAACGGGGGAAGGATATGGGACGGAGGAGGGATGAGAGGAAGGTGAGGAGGAGGAGGAGGGAGGAGGAGGAGGGGAGGAGGAGGAGAGGAGGAGGGAACCGGGGATGGCAGGAGGGAAAAGCGGGGGGGGCGGTTCGACGGCACGGTGGAAATGGAGGGAGGAGAAAGGGGGGCCGGGACTCCACCCCCCCCCCCTTTGGGCCATCCAGCGGCGCGCCCTCATAAAGGAGGGCCACGTGCCCAAGCCACGTGAACGGGTCGTAGAAGACCACTGCGACGACTGGGGCACCAACCCAACGGGCCGGACCCCACATCTTTGCGCTTCCCACCCACTGGCGAGCCAGGACACGCCGACGAGTACGACGACGACGACGATCTCCGGATCAGCCCCCCTGTAGGTTTGCCGACTTGGCAGTTTCGGGGCTCGCCGGCCCCGGCAACAAAATCTCGAGCCCAGGGCGTGGCCCACATCGTTGTTCCAGCGGCCGTCCGGGGCGACCTGCGCACCCGTTGGAGGACAAGAAGGACAAGAAGGAGGCGGGGCGGGTCGGGGACAAGAAGGACAAGAAGGACAAGAAGGAGGACAAGAAGGACAAGAAGGACAAGAAGGACAAGAAGGAGGACAAGAAGGAGGCGGGGCGGGTCCAGGGTGGTGCCCTCATGGGGCGCCGCCCGCCCCAGCGGGTCCCGACCTGGCCGGGGCCGGCCGCGAGTCCTGACGAAGGGCAGCGCCCGCTGCTCCGCCGCGGGTTCGATCACGACGAGCGGCGCCTCGTGCTCGAGCGGCCGTCTGGAACGCCTCCGGGGAGGCGCAGCCTCCGGAGCGCACCCGCGGAACGCCCTCGGGGAGGCGCAGCCGTCGGAGCGCACCACGAGGGCGAAGGCCCGCCGAGACTCGACGAGAAGGCACGAGCAGCGCGCCCCCCCGTTGTTCCGGGCGGCCGTCCGGGACGATCTGCGCACCCGCGGAACGCCTTCGGGGAGGCGCAGCCGTTGGAGCGAAAAAACCCGCCGAGATTCGGCAGCAAGGTGCGAACAGCGAGCCCTCCCCGCGGGCCCTCCGCCGGGGCCCGTCCTCCGAGGGCCGCGCTGCGCACCCGCGTGTCGTCCTCCTCCTCCCCCTCCTC